GGAAAAAAGGGGCAGGAAGTTGGGGAAAATCTGATTGTAGAGGGGGGTCGTACTGTCTCGCGGCTTTTCCTGTTTCACATGTGCTATTTATCATCGTGTCGTATCAACTCCCAAAAAAAGGGGGGGGGTCGTATAGAGTCGACTAAAATCCCCAACCAATGATGTGCCCTAGCCTTCAAAGGCATTGGTTAACGATCAGTAAAGGGAAGCCACGCTGCTTGACGTCAGAACACAAGTTTGCGATTAGTAGATTCATGGAATCCGTACAAAACGTCCGGTCCACAATCTCAGCGTGACAAGTGCCCGGCGGCTGTCATTAGCCGAAGGAGTGCCACGTGAAGAAGCTACCCCACCCCATCTTGACTTAGATATGACGAGTGCCTTTTTGGGTGGGGATCCACCGTATCTATATGGGACCACGTCTGTCGTCTCGTTTATCGTCCTATTCTCTCATGTTTGTCTCTGTTCTCTTGTCCGCGCAACAGTGTCGCGCTTCTCCGAGCGTCTTCGACAGCATTGTCCTTTTTTTTCTTCACTGACAAGTAAGCTGGCATTTCCAGCCTTATGATTGGATCCCACTTCCGAAGAACTGCTACTGCGGTGTGTGTCTTTAAGCCTTCTCGCTGGGATCCTACATTATCGAATGCAGGGGCACTCGTCTATCCATTTTCCGTTTCCGGAAGCAGTGAGCGAGGTGTGGTGGGCGGCGGTAGGTAGAATCGTGATGATGAAGAAAAATATTTGCTTGGTAAAAGATTTCATGTTTCATTTTGCCTGCTAACTCGTATAGGCCATTGTTATCTCACCAGCCATGAGGTTTATCTGTGAAGTGACGAAACCCTATCCGTTCGCTGTCCTCTAATCGACCCCACTTCCGCATTACAATGTTTCTTCCGCTGAACATAATCTGGATGTATGGTTTTTTTTAGAATGACAAACCGCATTCCATCGGCGTTACCATTGTGCAAATATGACGTTATTGCTTCCCCGTCGCTTCCGTTGGAATTTTGAGTTTTGATCTTTTCAAGGACCATTCTTCATTTTCCCCATGTATTTTGCGAATTGTTTGCACTTCGTTTCTACGTTCCATTCACTGCAATACAGAAGGATACCAGACGTTATTTTTTTGCAGATTCCTTACTAACTTCACCGAAACGGCTGTTGTTATGGTAATCTCTTCGGGTAGCAGTAGTTTCTCTACCACAAATCGAGGTAAGCAGTTTCGTTATAAATTATTTGACCGTTATCGATAGCTAATGTAGTTGACCGTGTCATCGACAAAGTCATCTGACGATTCATATGAACTCACTCAGCCCCTCCCCTTTCGTATCTGTCTGTCATCGTTTTGCATCATCGTAGATTACATTACATTGCAAACACTTTCGCACATATCACATTCCTCCTCGTACTGAATGTTTTTTTTAGTTTTACTTCATACAACTTCCTTACAAAGTAATTGAGCACAGGCTGATTTGTTTACAAGGGAACTAAGCTTCTCCCAATCGAGCGGTCCAATCGCGCGATCGCGAAGTATGAACGCGCTCTTATAGTCATTTCTTTTATTTAGATGAAACAAGAAGAAGGTCGGCGGCATTCTTCCGCACGCAATCGTAAGCATAATGACGATTTCATCGCATTTTGGCTCACATCTAATCAGGTGAGATCCATTTCCAAATTCCCCATCCCGTAGACCGACAGTATTACGCGACTTCATTCCATTTTTCTGAAACTTGCATTAACTTACCTCTGTTTTTCTAATCCAATTATTTCCTGCTAGAGTGATTTTTTACAGTCAATCTCGTCAGATGAACTCTCAAGGCGCGGCTCAAGTATTCCCCTTTTTTCGGGCGTTACCTATTTGAACGGGACCCATGCGGCAGCAGGTGTGCGTCTCTTCTGCTAACCAAGGCCTAGCTTAGAGCGCCGACGGTAAGAGTCACCGCTGGTTAGCTGCGTCCATTAAGTTCTTACTCAGTCCTGAGAGAGTTGCGTTTTGAAGCACCGACCTCTGGCGTCGATCGATATGCATAGTATCCTCTTAGTTTAAAATGCCGGTTTGCTCGAACGGCAATACGTGCCCTGACCATAGAGTGCCTGTTACAAGATATCTGTCAACCGGATGCTCTCTCGCTGTGAGGGTCCAGAGATGTTTTCTCATCGCATCTTCTGTTCGAGCATTCAGAGGAAGGAAATAAAGACGGTGAGAGAAGGAAGGAAGAAAAAGAGGATGGAGCAAGGAGAAAGGAAGGAGGAGGAAGGCTCTCTACGGTTGACAGATATCCTGAGATCAGGAGTGCCATGCAGGCGAGGAAACGCGGAGAAAACCAGAGAATTGTGTGGCTCATGATTTTTCTGGTCGTCTGCGCTCAGCCCGGTGAGAACACCCTTATTTACGTCCAAAATTGTGCAACTTACGCCTCATTGAAACGAGTCACAACGCCCATAAAAGCCCACGGTAATCAAGAATCGTGCCTTCCGATCGCCGATAGGGACAGACATCCGGATGCAGAGTGCTGTTCCGAATATTCACGGAAATGGATAAATTCAAACGAGTAGTTGGACGTGAACTGAAGGTAAAGCCCGTTTCAAACGAAACTACGCCAGATTTTCAAATTCCCTGTTCATTTCTGACATTCTCCCGACTTCCAGAATGTCAGAATTGAACAGGGAATTTGGAAAGTTACTGCTACATTGGGGAGTTAGACTGTTAGGTAAGGGGTTCTTGCTTTGTTCCGGCTATCGCTCTGAGTAGCGACATCGTCTCAGCGTCTCCTCTACCAGGAGGGCAGAACTAAAAAAACCTCCCAGTGACGTCAGCAAAAAGTGAGCACTTACACGAACCCATACAGAAGTGTTCTTTCTCTTGAATTCAAGTGTTCTATTTTTAGCAACCTGGATATGTGCCGGCAACAAACCAGCCACCAAAGGCTGTACACTTTAGTTCGCGCGATTCCATCGGTAATCCTTCTTTTTACATGATTTCTACCATCCTTCTCAATGAATATTGATTCTAGCTGAGTCATCGGAGACCTCCTCAACGGACAGCAGCTTGACAGAAAAACCAAAATATCTCAATGGAGGGTAAGTTTTCAACGTAGGTGGCTTCCTTAGTTATTTCAGATTTCCAATCTTTCTAGCAACGATTTGTTGGTAATGAGTGACCGGCCTTAGTTGTGAGAGGGTTTGGTGAGGAGCACTTCCTTCAGGCTGCGTTCATACTTCGCATCAACGTACGCCAGCGCATGGCAGCGTACAGCAGTGTCTTCGCGGGCAGTTTTGGTCTTCCTCAAATTGCCCGCGAAAACGGTAGCATGCGCTGGCGTTCGCTAGATGGATATTCATACTTTCCTAGTCGCTGGCATTCGCTTGATCGTTATCTATACTTTAATAGTCGCTAGCGTACGTACTGGCGTACGCACGAAACGCTGGCTTACGCTGGCGCAAAGTAGAACGCAGCCTTATTCAGAAGTCAGCTCCTGTCCCAAAGAAGGGCCCGTGCTCTTCGTTGCTCTTCCACTTCTATCGCTGTTTTGCAGATATGGTTGGATTGTGGTCGCGTTCAGTTTTATCCTACATTTCATTGCGGACGGTCTTTCTTTCAGTTTTGGTGTATTATTTCCCAAAATTCAAGAGGTGACTTTCTTGGAAAGGCTTATATTAACTATAACTTATGGCTAACCCGATTTATGTTTAGCGTTTTGGTGCAAAGCGTTTCGGTGCCAGTTCTGTAGCGTCGCTATTCCTGTCTCTTCCCTTACTTTTGGGACCAATTGCTGGTTTCATCACTGATGTATGTGACTGCAAGTGAGTGAATAATGATTATCATTGGCGATTACATGTTCCCCCTTGCTACTATGCCCCCTCTCCCTTTACCTTCGCATTACTCTTTATTGGCTTCTGTGCAGAGTAATATTGATGTTTTTATGGATTAGGCAATATCGTAATGGGGATTACATTGAGAGCATGAATTTCAAGAAAGAAGCCGCACTCGATACTAATCCTTGTGTTGGTTGCCTGGTGAAGCCTAGTCGCCTTAGTCGTCGCGCTTTCAAAGGAATATTTGATTTTGGTTGCGAGGGAAACCGGCTCGACCGCAGAGATTTTCTCGTAACAGCAAGGGACCGAAATTATTGTTCTGTTAGGCTCAGTGGACTGCGCCATCGATTGACCCCATATCACACTAAGTTGAGGGAAAGATCTGGGATTATAGAGATATTTGATCAATTATTCACGGAAATGACATGTTAAGAGAATGGTCGGACGCGTAACGATTGCGCGATAAGTGAAGTGAAGCTGCGTTCATACTTTGCGGCATTGGGAAATCAGAGAACAGAAAAAGGGAAGTATGGAAGAATGCGCGTAAAAGAAGTCGATGGAAATCGATCGTAAAGTCGCGAGCGAACTGGAAGAATAGGTGAACAGGCAGATCGAAGATTAGAAGTATGCGCCCAAAGTAAGGTGTAGATATAGATTGGGTAAATTGGGAGAATGAGAAAACCGAGTGATATCCATCTATTTCCTTTGCGCTCGTTCTCCTACTCATCAGTATCGCAAGGTGTGACGCTGTATTCATACTTTGCGTCAGCTTTCCGAGCCTAGAAACTATAGGCAGCGTTTTGAGCGTACGCAATCGTAGCCAGCGTACCCCACCGTTCTGAACGACAAGGAATTGATATCGATCTAGAATTTCGAGCCTACGCCGGCTTTTTAAGCGTTTTGCGAGCAGTTTTGAGCTATTGACGTGCAGTAGCTGAAGACGGTGGCGTACGCTGAGAACGCTAGATCGACATCTATGCTTTTCTAGTAGCTCAAAACGCTGACGCAAAGTATGGCAGCGTTCAGACTTCGCGACGGTAGCGCTTCGGTTGCGCGTTGGACGCGATCGATACGCATGCTTTCGACTGCATCGATCTCGCCGAACGCGCGACTGCAGTCGCGAAATCTGAACGCTGCTGTATGAACGCAGCTTCAGCGCGATTTAGGATTGCGATGTTGTATGTTGTGTAATGTTCCTTACCATATGATTTTATGATATCTAGGATATGATGCTGTTTCAGGAGGACGATTCTGATTGGGGGAATCATCTGTTGCGCTGGTGCGGTAACATCGTATTTTTGTCAGTCAATTTTAATGTTCACCCTATGCTTTGGAGGACTGATAGGAGTAGGTAGGCAACTTCAAGCGGATGTTGGCTTTTTCTATGCATTTTATTTATGTGAAACGATTTTATGAATTCACAGGGCTTTCGTTAGTTTACAATGCTGCCATCGTCATTGTCACGTATAACTTTGAATTGAGAAGGGGAGTAGCAACGGCTTTAGCAGTTTCTGGTACTGGTGTCGGAACTATAATATTCCCACTGTTTCTCAAATATGTGAGGCATCTCTTTTTTTATTGGTTTTCCTGAATCAGAGAGTTCATATTATTTGACTGTACTCGAATGGTCTTATTTTAGTTCGTACCGGAGCAGGGCACTGACATAGGTCCAGCAATTATAGCAATCTCCCTCGTCTTATCTATCATTATCCTTATAGGACTTGTAGTAAAGGATGTGGAATGGCAGAGTGACACTCCAGAGTATAAGGTTTGTGGAACTCGTCGAGACCGCAGAAGGATTTTGAGGGTGCCAGGCGGCTGCGCTACGTAATCCCATGTCTGCCGTCTGCGCCTTCTCGCCGAGGTCGTGTTTCGGCATATCCGTTGCAGCTAGGAAAATAAAGGGTAAAACTATTGTCAGGCCTCGAAGAAACATGTCAAGGAGAACATGACGCAACATAGTTGCGCCGACGTTTGGCACCCCCGAACTACCACTGCACCTTCGCAATCCTTTCTCATATGATGGAATCTTGACAAGAATAATGTGTTCAGATGAAAGTTTTCCACAGAAGATTGAAAAAACTGCGGGAAGATGAAGAAAGCATGAAGAATCAAGAATGTGGCCGAATGGTTAGTTTATTTGCTTTGTCTTGCAGTAGCTATCACCAAAGCGTGAGTATTGATTTTCTCTCGCAGGCGCTTCTGCTACACTTCTCAGTGATGTGAAATGAGGGAGGCGGGAATTTCGATGCCTTCGTGTACCGTAATGCAGAAAGTGATTGGTAGTGTTTAATATTAGGTTGGCGGGAAAGTTCTGTCACATTTTTCAAATTAGGCTTTCTTTTTATAGAGAGGCGTGTAAGATCAAAATTGTACAGCAATGTTACTGCGGGGTCCTTGCCTGTTTTTGAGCACCTCATGGATGCCATCGCTTCACAATGCAGGGAGGCGCGACGCAAAGTTGGACATCATCTCAATCTTGACTTGAACTCGGGTTATGGAGGTTTTCTCGTCCACATAACGATTGAGTACGGGAGGCAACTCGCAGTTAGAAGGAGCAATGTCTGTGCTACACCAGTGCAAGGGGAGAGCCATCCAGCTCTATTGCATGAGGTACGGCTCGAACTTTTTTGGACGGAGTGCGCTGCACTATCATGATGAGGGCGGGCTGTGCGGACAAATTTTTCCCTCTGATCGACGGTACGCTTTAGATCTCGTAGCTGCTTTGCGTACGCATTGACCGAGGAAGCAGCTTCTTCATCCAGCACTTTCACGACCCGCAGCTCCCTCAGTCTGAGTTCACAGGTAACCCAAACCTCACTTCGTCATCAAAACTGTAGGCTCCCGCGAAGCATTAGCGTCGTGGAAGGTTGTCCGATAATTGAGGGCATCGTCCTTATTCAGCTCCATTATTTTGGCATCTGCAGCTATCATGCTGGCGTCAGGGTGGTGGAAGAAAGAGTTTGAGGAAGCGCTTGGAGGTGGTCGGTGCCGATGGGAGACGGTAAAGAGGATCGTAAAATGCCGTTTCGCCGCGCGCGGGATGGACGCGGCGTTTTCTTAACTCGTGTTAACTTGTCGGTTGGAGCACCGGACTTCATGTAGACCCCGTCATCGTGTACATTCATGACTATTTTCGGTTCTGAATTGTCTGTTGTCGCCATCATCTACCTGGAACCATCGTCATTTGCGGGCGCGACGTCGCACGCGACGCCCAACAGCGCGATGATTCACGATCCTCTTGTCACATACCCGGTGCCGATGGTAGCGGATAAAATTCTTGTCCACATTACAGAGGAAGAAGAAGCAGGAGTCAGTACTGATAGAAAGACCACTCCTTGATGTATAAGTGCTCACATTACCGGTTACCCCTCTTCAGGTAATAGGCAAGTTGAGTTCAAAAAAGTGTGACAGAACTTTCCCGCCAACCTAAAATTTACATTAGGTGCTACAGCCCTTTGTAAAGGTGCGCCGCAGCGGGGTGGAGGTGGGAATATTTCGAACTTTCGTGGGGCTTCTTTTCCGTCATGGGGCGTCATCTGAGATAGACGAGTAGTATCATGGTTCCTATAATCACTTATTCTTCCATTGTTCATTGCTCCTTTACCAGTATGCAGATTTTCAATATCGCCCTAGAGCGCATTCAGACTTCGCGATCAGGTCGTTCAGTTGGATCGCGCGACCACGACAGGGGCGCTCTTCCGCCAAACGGTGCACCTCCGCAAAGGCACAGTTCGACTTGGCCCGTGTGAACGCGACCCAGTTTGAGCTGCCGTTGCAGCGGTGCACCGCTTGCCGGTCGTGGTCGCACGATCCAATCGCTCGAGCGAACCGAACGCGAGGTGAGAACTTTGGTCCTAGACTTGCCATACGAGTGGGGGGGGGGTGTCCGTAAGATCCGTAAGATTCCGTCTATGCTTGTTCATTGTATGTTGGTCAGTCAACAGAAAAAGTCACCCTCATGAAAAAGAAAACAAAACAAGTCAAACATTTTAACTGACATATATCAAAAAATAAATAGAAAAACTGAGACATAATAGAGAACAGTACTAGATCAGGAACCTATGTTTTTTCATTATATTTTTGTTGTAGCAATTTTTCTATTTTCTCATTTTCTTAGTTATATCCCCTTCTGGCTATGCTCAATCCTAGTGTGAGTTTGCCGTTTGATTTCCCTCTCTTTTTCTCAATATCTTCCTCTGTCGTTATAACTTAGTAGTATTTAACACGTAAGGCATGGTAGATGAGTGTCCATATAATGCCAAATTCTTAATAGATAAGAGCGCTTATATTTTTCAATCGCGCGATCGGATCACTCTATTGGATCGCGCGATCGCCAAGTATGAACGCACTCTAATTGTTGTCATTGAGGAAGGGTTGAAGTCAGTAATAATGGAGTAGATCAGTTTGTGCTGTTGACATTGCTGTGTTATATTGAGCAGAAATGGTTATTCCAAATGAATGAATTAGTTTTCAGTATCAAGATGTGGAGCCTCGTCGCGCATGCTCTCTGCCATCGATGCCATCGTATTTCAGACCGTTTATGAATAAGCTAGATTTCAACGCAGAGGTGATTTTTTAAACTTTATTTTCAAATCACTAAGTTGGCGTAAAAAGGTCTATAGAAGATATGGCGAGTGCTACAAAATGCGCACTCTCACGTCGTGTTACCTTTGGACGCGTTCATACTTCGCGACTTAAGCGATTCGATTTGAACTAGCATTTGCAGCTTTGAAGCGCAATTTGTCGCAGTCACGCGCACGATTCTCTGATCCAATTTGGAAATCGTGATGCAAGGGTTGTCACATGCGCGGCATTTACACCAGGTGGAAGTCGGTCCAGCGTGTCAATTTTGCGTTGTATGAAGCCAACTAGTTAGTGCATTTGTGGAAATCGTGAATCAAGTGGTGTCACATGCGCGGCATTTACACCAAGACGGAATCGATTCAACATGTCATGTCATGTCTACTAGTTGGTACGCGTCGCGGCAACGCAGAACTACCGTTACGCTATACACATACCTTTCGTACGGAATCAATATTGGCGAAGATACTTATTGAGAGGATGATGCTGTATTATAGAGGCCTTGTTTGTGTACGGAAATAAATGTAACGGTAAGGGCGGAGCTATTTACTCTTCACTTAACCTTTTCCGAAAAGCTACCCGCGACTGTGTGGTCCCTTTACCTACAGTACATATCGGATGGCAATACGGGGTGTTTCCATGTACGCCAAGCGTCGGTTGCGTAGTCCGGTGACGAAGTTCTGCGCTCTTATGCATTTTCTTTACCATCTTTGTCTGAACCCTCGCGGCCAGCGTATTTGGAAACACCCCTTTTCGCCATCTTATAGTACCGTATGTGACTCATCCATTTTTACTACTTTATTTTTTCGATAGGAAGTTTGTAATTCGAATGCTTAGCGGTTAGTTTCAGGAAGTCAAAGATGCTGTGACTGCTCTTCAGGATCATCCAACGCGGTCACGATCAGTAGGAACATTTATGAACAGACCACGAACGGTAGACTTACCTCCGGCTCCTGAATTCTCTATGCTTGGTGGACAACTCAAGCACCTTGAACATTTAAATTTACATGTGAGTCCTTATCTAGCCGTTTGTCCTCCTTCCTTGTCTCAACTCCTGTACTCCCGACATCGCTGTTTCAGCTGGACAATTCACCTTGTACCACTGTTCATTCCAAGCCGAGAAATCGAATGCCGAATAAGACTGCTTTGAGCATGGATGCCATTAATAACATTGAACAAGACAGTGAGCATCCTTTGATCAAAATGTAAGTGTTTTGTCTTTTATGATGCTAACGCTGTTCACGCCAAAATGCTTGGGCCAACTAGTCTTAGATAGCGTTAACTCAACGCGCTGTATAGCGCAGCAACTCGCGTTACCGCGCTGCAGTTACAGCAGTGCTTCGAATCTTTGAATGCGAACGCAGCCGCAGGCAACCGGCGCCGATCGATTCCCGTCCACGAGGGCTCGATCGGTGGGCGCCGGCCTGAGTCTTGAGAAAGTAAGGGGGAGAGGATGGTGGCTGAAATTCGAGACACGGAACGATGCGGCGCCGCCGTCTGCGGTTGCAAACTCGCCTTCTATAAGTTCTGAGAACCGCTTTTCTTGCAGCGCTTTTGCGCTGCCTTCCTCTCGCTAACGGGCGTCAATGGAAGCATGGCTAGCTGTGTTGTGGAATTATGATTCTTGCCAAGGCTGGAAGCTTTCTTGTATTTTGTGCCAAGGTTGATCAATTAACTTGAATTACAACGAATAACTAATTGGACAAAAGGGCGAAAAGGTAGATCAGTGTACGCCATCGCACGGCAGCGTTCGAGCGTTTCGAGTGTTCATCAGCGACCAGGAAAGTATAGGTATCAGTCTAGCTTTCCAGTGAATGCCAACGTCCACCAGAAGTGAAGGGTATGGGGAAGTAGGAGGTTAGCAGACTAGGCGTCGTGAAATCGCGGTGTCTGTTGCAGCGTCGTACAACTTCTAAAACACAGCATTTTGCAATTTAATATACAGTGCGTTCCACACGCCATGTTTTCACGACGCCTAATGCAGCAGTCTCTTACCCTCCTACTTTCCCCATGCTCTACTCCTGGACGTTGCTGTACGTGGCAAAGTTGGTGGACGTTAGATCGATACCTACACTTTCTTAGTTCGCTGGTGCTGGCGTACGCTCGAAAAGCTCGAAACGCTGCCGTACGCTAGCGTACGCTGACGCAAAATGTGAACACAGCCTCATGTTCTTATCATTTATCGCGAAATGTCACGTGAGACATTAGTACAGGGTGTTGTCATTTACATAAAATTTTGCCGAGAATAATATGATGTGAAAACAAAGAAGAGTTGGATAAAATGAGGAGTCACACTATTAGATAATATTTGTTATTGTTTCTGTTAATATTAATGCTTAAAGGTCAGTGGGCAACGGAACTAGCAGCGAGGAGCCGTTGGAAAATGATGACAGTGGTTCGGATTCAGAAATGTCCAATGATGGGGATTCTTCTAGTTCAGAACTGTCGGATACTTGTTTGAACAAAGTAATCTTCCGTCTTAATTTCGGAAAATACGATTTGTTTTCTGCGCTTGCTGTATAAAATTGGATTTGAATTATTTGTGGTTCAATAGTTTAATTGTTGAGTGATCATAGTTCCTTGTTTTTATGAAGTGAGAGTTTGTCAGGTAGATAATCCCTATAACTTTGACTTTATAAATACATTTGCAGAGCAAGATCAAGAACAATAACAACAACAATAACAACATCAATAATAGTAATAACAACAACAACAGACTCGCCGTGAATGGGTTGCCGAAGTTGGAATTTGGCCCAACAGGTAACTAATTATACTGTTCTTCTAGAAAAGTAATGCGTAGGATTCATTTAGTAGTTTTATATGTCAGATTCAGTGAACTTCACTGCTTTTAAAGAATACAAGCTTGGAACATGTATCATGGAAGACCTGAGCGCACCTTTTTAGAGCCGTCACTCCCAATGTCAGCTCGCCTTTTACGGGGATCTTTGGCTCCGGGCATGACGGGAAATCGTATACCTGTCGGTAATGCAGTTGCCAGGTATAACTTTACCTAGACTACTACTTCAGTTACTAGCAGTAATGTTTAAGATATCGCGGTCCAACGAACCTGATTGCTTATCAAGGGAAAATACCGTCCGCTCCCACTTTGGCAGTGCGCAAGAAAAGAAAAAATCTCCTTGCAAAATTGCATCTCAAAGAGGTTAGTGAGATATTGATTAGCTTCAAGTAAGTGATAAGCAGCGGCGCGTAACTCATATGCTTCAGGTTGCTAAAGGTTTACACGAAGAAATGGTTCTTTATCGTCTTCTCATAAGTGAATCTTCTTTCGTTTTGTAAGTTGTTTTTAAATATTCTTTGTCTTCATAGATGTTGAGGTGTTTTTAAAGTCCTGCCGGATGTAGGATTGTTCTGAAGGCAGGCAGCTTCTGCTCATCCATTTCTGTGCAGTGGACGATCTCCTCCGGAATAGAACAGGGCACGTCATTGGTTGGGTAGTTCGGGATTCTGGTCGAGTCCGTACGACCCCCCTACGACCCCCCCCCCTCTTAAAAGGTAGCGCGATACGATCTCCCTAGTTCCTTCCTCTAATACGTTCGAGCGCGGGGAAGGGGGAACATAGCAGCAGTAAAACGCGAAAAATCCCGAAAAGTAAAAAACTGAGGAAAAATTCCCTGACCCCGCAAATTTCTCTCAGAATGCAAGTACGGTCCCCTCTCTCTCCCAACATAGAGCAAATAAGACTCTCCCCATTATAGCGTCCGTGGAAGAAGAAAAGTCAACTATTAAAAGAATTTTTCTCGGACCCAATACGACTCCCTGCCCCGTAGGGGAATCCCCAACGATGGTGTGACCTGGTATAGACACTTTCTTGGGGGAACCCTTCGAGGATTACGCGATCCTCCATTCCTCTCCTCGTGGGTTTCCTTCCCTTATGTATTATAGAACTGGATTTTTTGAATTCAATCTATTCTGTTTTTTTTTGTAAAAAAAGGATGTTCGAACACGTTATTTGAAGGTTTTTGATGAGCGTAACAAGTTTGTATTTCGTGCTGGATGTTCCATACGTTTTCTTCTATGACTATGCAGTGGACAATTTGCATGTGAGTTCGTTTTTGAGGATATAATCAGTTAGCCGATCATTTCCATTTGATACCGTAAATTTTCTATTGCTTCAGATAGAAGAAACATCAGCAGCATGGCTTACCTCCATTATTGGAGTGGCTAACCTTCTGTCAACATGGATTTGTGGAGTGATATCGGATGCTGATTGTGTAAAATCGGTAACGTTCTGCTACCATTGTACAGTTTATCTGCCAGTATATTTATTGTTTATATTTACCCATGTTTAATAGTGTCTCCTACGAAACCCAAAAATTTGCTCGAAAAAGACACAGGCAAAAAGACTTATAAGCCTCAGACAGCGTTTATACTTTGCTGCAGCATCCACCAGCGAGCAGTAGCGTTCGAGCGTTCATCAGCTTCAGTACTAAGGAATGTATATATATCGACCTAGCGCCTGCCAGCAACCGGTGTAGAAAATATGGGAAAGTAGGAGGGTAGCAAACAGCTGGATTGGGCGTCGTGAAATTGCAGCGCGTGCAACAACCAATAACTCGCAACCACACTACTGCTAAAGCACGGAGTTGATTAAATGTGCGGTGTAGTGTAGTTGTACGGTGCGGTTGCACACCTTGCAATTTCAAAACTTCTATCCACCTGTTCCGCTACCCTCCTACTTCCCCATGCTCTCTACTCCCGGTCGCTGGTAAACGCTGGTAGATAGACACCAGGTCGACACCTATACTTTCCTAGTCGCTCACGCTGCTGGGCGCTCGGGACGCTAATGGTCAATGGTGGACGCTGGAAGACGCTGCCAAAGTATGAAGGCAGCCTACACTGTTCTTAAACGTTAAGATACGCCATGTAACTCCGTGACAACTCAACAGTAAACCCAATGTTCTGCTATGTCGTCTCTTTTCAGCGTTTGTTTACTGTTTACGGGATTTCAATGTGTGGTCTAACAGCGTGTATGTGGATAGTAACGATGGTCTCGGATACGCTAGGAATGGCGGTACGTTAGCAATTTATTTCGAATGAAACTTCTATTCCGATTATGATTGAGGTTTCTGAAACAAAATCAAATATGAGGTAGTTGCCGCGTCCAGTCTTTGAACTTGGGCATCTTCTACAGAACGCGTCTTCTATCGCATTGATACAAAGAGTTGGTGTGATGGAACCGCCTTAAACAAAGGCAGTCTCATCATCTTCGTAGTCGTTTTTCCTTCGACTTCACAGTAAATAGCAAATGCGCTGCAGCCCTCATAAGTGGCAGTTTTAACGCCTCTCTAGAAGTACCACCCACCTAAACTTAAGGGCTTGTCAGCGCGGCGAATTGCGATTCTCTTTCACATACTCCACCCCCTCTCCTCCCCCCCCCCTTCCCCACCGCTGAGATGTTGAGAGTAACGGTATCGTATTAGGTTGTCCGGAAAGTTCTCAGCGTTTTGTGCACCTATTTTTTGTACATTCACTGCTGATTAAAAACTCATTCTGCCTTGCTTCTCAGTAGCACATCCTGTAGAGAATTTCTTGCGCTATCTGATGGTATAATTGCCGTTTCACCATTGCTTGATAAACCCCCTTTTTTCAAGATTTTTTCAAGCATGTGAAAAGAGCACTTCGGACGATTTTTTTCTTCGACTATAAATTGGGGCAATCCGCAATCGAAACAGCTCAACAAATTAACCAGGTGTGGGGGCCCAATAGTGCTAGAGAAAGCACTGTGCGGCAATGGCTCAGCACTGTGCGGCAATGGCTCAACAAATTTCGTTCTGGAGATTTCAGCCTTGAAGATGAACCTCATAGCGGTCGACCTAAAGCAATATCTGACGAGGATTTTAGGGGGATTTTGGAGGCTGACCCATCCCAAACAGTTCGAGAGATAGCAGAAGAGCTAGGCCTTGGCAAATCCACTGTTGCAGATGGTCTGGAACGCATTGGGAAGGTGAAAAAACTCGACAATTGGGTGCCCCACAATCGGAGTGACCGGCAGGAATCGGCACGTCTCGAGGTTCCTTCTGCATTGCTTTTGCGCAGCAGAAACGACCTGTTTTTGGGCCGAATTGTCACCTGTGATGAAAAATGGGTCATGTATGATAACAGGAGACGTTCCGGACAGTGGTTGGATTTCGACGAACCACCGAGGTAATTTTCAAAGCCGAACCCTCACGAAAAAAGATTCTGGTCACGGCTTGGTGGTCATCGGCTGGTGTGATCCACTATAACTTTTTACCAGGCCAAACCATCACAGCAGAACCCTACTGTGAAGAAATCGACGAATTGTACCGAAAATTTTGTCAGATGCAGCCAACACTTATCAAAAGAAAGGGTCCGATTCCTTTGCATGACAACGCCCGCCCACACGTTTCACAAATCACTATCCATAAATTGAACGAATTGGGGGTTGAAGTTCTACCTCAACCGCCATATTCTTCAGACCTTTCGCCAACCGACTATCACCTTTTCTAACATTTTCAGAACTCCCTTGCTGGAAAATACTTCATCAATCAGGACCAGGCAAAAAAGCCTTCGTGGATTTCGTGAATTTTCGACCACCCAGTTTTTTACTTTGATGGGATTTCTCGACTGCTGTCACATTGGCAAAAGTGTGCTGATTCGAATGGTGCCTATTTCGATTAAATCCGATGAGTATTAAAAAAGTTACGATCGTTTAAAGTGAAACACCCAAAACGCTGAGAACTTTCCGGACAACCTAATAATACATTTTCATTTTTCTTAAATATGTGTTTATGATGTGAAGTATGACGACGTGATACTAACAGTACATTCTTCCTGCGTAAAACACTTGCGACGTTCAAGTCAATTGCGATTCTGGCACCCCAGAAAAAGGGTGAATGTGTCACTGTTTGGTTCAGGGGGAGTTTGGCGTCGTCTGCTCGTCTGCATCCTCTCATGGAACAAAATGACGTGATTTTGCCATGCCAATCAATAGAGCTCCGCTGAAAAATGGCCCTTCCCAAGGCAACTGCGCCCAAATTCTGGTTTCTTATTTTGCTCGTAGCTGTTTGCGAAGGAGAATCAAAATGAATTTCATTTGAACTGTTTGGAGATTTACTCACAAGAAGTGTGTTAAGTAGTAAACGTTTACGTTTTAGTTTATTTGTGCGTGTTTCGGCTTCTTTATCTCGTCAAACTATGTGCTTCAATCAGTTATGCTCACAACTATGTGGGAGGATATGCGAAACTTTCAAAGTTCATATGCTTTAACTTCATTTTGTGAAGGAATAGCTACATTGTTTGGACCTCCAGTTATCGGTTCGTTTTTTGCTTCTCATATTAATACTATTTCTGTTGCCGGGGCCTTATATTAGGGTGTCCGGAAAGTTTTGAGAAAATTTCGCTGCCTCACTTTGAAAAAGCGTAGCGCGCGAAGGCCATGAGCAAATCTGTAGATCAAAACATGGGAAGATAGAGGATTGTCTGTAGATCAAATCAGCAGCTGACCAATATTTCATTTCGTCATTAGCCTTTGTTTTGACCAATCGAATAATGTGCGACAGACGCTACAGTCGACGCATCCTACTTCATCTTCACCGTTCCGGCCGCTCCGCCATTCAAGCGAGGCATGAGTCGCTGTCGTCGATGGGTGGCAATGCACCCTCTCTTGCAACCTGCTACAGGTGGTACGATCGCTTCGCAGTGGGAGAGTTTAGCCTCGATGAAGCACCTCGATGCGGACGCCCTCCCTCTTCCAACACTGGCATCGTGCTGGCTTCTGTGAGGGCCAATCCTGCCCAAAGTCTGAGGGGAGTTGGAGAGGACGACTTCCACTCCTCGATCCACTATTCACGGCATTCTGAAAAGGAACGGCTTCCGCGCTGCTTTGCCCGGAATCATTCCGCGGTCTCTTACCGCAAGGGAGCGTGCGGTGAGGGTCGATGTGTGTCAGAAGCTCCTCGATCGAGAAAGAACGACGACTTGGGCGAGCTTCATAATTGCTCAGGATGAAAAGTGGATCTCGTACGAAAACCCGGATAGGAAACTGGAGTGGCTGCCGTCGGATCAAAAGCCGGAGCCCGTTCCAAAGCGAGGCTGCCACGCCAAGAAGGACTTGCTCTCGTTTTTCTTCTGCTCCACCGGCTGTATTTACTACGAGATTCTTCATGAGGGTACTACTGTAACATCATCGATATTCTGTGAGCAACTACGAGAGCTGGTGTCCCGAGCTCCAGTTTCCCACCAATACCGGGGCAAGTTCCACATCGTCATGGACAACGCCCGACCACATCATGCGAAGGCGACAAGGGACGAGCTGGAGAATTTAGGAATCGAATGGCTGCCCCATCCTCCGTATTCACCTGACCTTAGCCCTTGTGACTACCATGCTTTCAGGAGTCTCCAGGCTTACGCTACGGGTAAGATGTTCAACAACCATCAGGATGTCAAGCGTATGGTCGATGAATGGATTGCGTCCCAGCCTGCTTCCTTCTGGAAGAAAGGTATCCATGCCCTGCCCATTCGGTAGAGAGATGTCGTGGCTAAGAAGGGCCACTATCTTGATTACTGATTTTTCGCTTTTCTTGTTGTTAATATGTGTTGAATAAAATGACCAAATTTTCTCAAAACTTTCCGGACACCCTAATAATTTGCAGTTACCATCGAACAATTGGCGACGCTGTCCCCTCGTGAAATTTGGGTCATACTCGAGCTGCAGGTTACAAAACCGTTAGCACTCTTACCAGGGAGGTCGTTCAGGACGTGGCGCGCTTTTTGAAAACGGTTTTTTGCATTATGTAGGGGCACGTTCATGGACTACCAAACTGACGTTCATTTTTCCTAAATGGCTCTTTGAATACCAAAAAAGGAGTGAAGAAGAAGTGTATGGAAACCGATTGGTTTTGAGCCCCTCTGGGCTCCAAATCACTTGCAACTTTGACCAGTTGCTGAGTAGAGGGTCCTTATAAAGGCACTATAGGAATCGAGGAGGAAAATAGTCGCAAATGGGTCTTACTTATGGCACGTGATTGAGAGTCTTCAACGATCGAAGCAGTGTTGAGGCACAACGATCGGATGGCCTAGTGGATAGCGTGGAGGATTCTCAATCGGGCGGTGAGGGTGGCTGTTGATGGTTCGACTCCCCTGGACGTGCAGGTTTTTGCATTTTTTGGTTTCGCTATCCTCGCTTCCATGAATGTCTGTGCATGAGCATAACATGGATATTTGCCATTTGTGGGCAAATTCTTAACGGTAGTACCCCGTGAGTCGGTGTTAAAACACTATTACAATTTTCTCCTACAATTGAGCAAGGCTGCTACTGAAAACTGATTTGTATGTGTAAGTAAGTGATAAGATCATTAATATGATACTTATATTTAGCTGTGGTGCCATTTGTCTCCGATTTGGATCCACATCATTCTCCCACTGAATTCATTATGTACACCCATACAAGGAGACGTTTAGCGCTATTCTGCCTTCAGATTGCGTCAGCGCCAGAAATAAGTGTCAGAATCGTGATCAGTACCATCGATAACCCTTACGGACAGAGGTTCGCTCAAAAAAATTCTTCGACCTTCTTTGGTTGTGGGGGACCACCTGGTCGACGATTATGATCGGAGTCTCACACCTTCGTAGCAGCGACAACGCAACGATGATGAAGCGCGCCGCCGGGCAGCTGTATCGCGAATTTGCTGCACCGAAGGTCCTTCCATGCAGTTATAAGTCTGGATGCATGTGGAATACGTGAACAACCATCGTGGACCTTTGTCGACCCCTAGCGGCTACTCACCGACGAAGGTGTCATTCTCCTCCAGCGATAGAACAGATTCATTCAACTTTCTCCACTTTCAAATGCACCTGGAGGATGACTGAATTTTTCTTTTCCAACGGTGTTATCCTTGTTATTAGTTTTATGTTTACTCATCAATAAATGGGAAGGTTTGAATAACAGGCAAGGTTCGTTTCCATAGAAAGACTCGTGTACACAATCCAATACACACACCCAGATGTCGGAAAAAATTTTTTGAGCGAACCTTCGTCCATAGGGGTTATCGATGGTCCTGA